AGAAGGAGAGAGAATATAACACATTTAGTAAAAGGTTAATATATTGGGAATTTGGTTGAAGGGCATCCTGGCATTCTTTGTTCTACATTTTTCTCTCGCTCTAGTTGTATGTAACTTTTGCAACTTTAAGTCTGAAATAATATTAAAATAAACGGATGCAAAATAAATGGACACCTTGAGTCCTAAGGTGGAAAAGGCCTTCACTATGGACTAGGGGGGAGACCTTATAGGACGTGATACACAGCTGGACTCATGTCTGGATGTCCAAAGGTTGGTCAGGCATCTGGGAGCGGGGCAGGGCGAGCAAACCACGGATGTAGCAGGGCAGGGAGTGGCCCAGTTCTGTTCCCTGAACGTTCTCCTTGGCATTGAACGCTGAGCAAAGTGGGCAGAAAAGCCGTTGGCACAGAGCACAGGGGTGGAGTGGGAAACTGAAAGGGAATCTGATAGGGATTTAAGTGGATAAGAATGAAAGGATTCTGCCCTGGCTGGTGTAGCTCAGTGGATTGAGTGTGGGCTGCGAACCAAAGCATCGCAGGTTCGATTCCCAGTCAGGGCACATGCCTGGGTTGCAGGCCACGGCCCCCAGCAACCGCACATTGATGTTTCTCTCTCTCTCTCTCTCTCTCTCTCTCTCTCTCTCTCTCTCTCCCCCCCTCCCTTCCCTCTCTAAAAATAAATACATAAAATCTTTAAAAAAAAATCTGAGCAACATTAAAGGTCTGGTTAGTTGGGATACATCTGCAGTGGCATTGGCTCAATGCTCAGCAGGCCGGGAAAAACAGAACAAGTAAAAGGCTGGGGACTGACAGATTAAAGGCAGCAAGAAGGAGAAGGGGGCCAATAGAACGGTATTGAAATGATTCCCTTTGGGGTGTGGCTGAGTAGGGAGCAGGTGAGGCAGAAAGCAGGCTGGGGACTGTTTGGGGGAGGGGAAGGCCTGGAAGGGCCAAAGACAGGTTCTGGAAATCTTAATCACCATATTCTTGTACCCTCATCTACTATTTCAAGGGGCTGAGTTGGGTGATCCCTGCCAGCTCTTACTGGTTTTGTTTTTTCTTAATTCCCTTTCCTCATGGCTTCCTTTTCGGACTGATGGGAACTACTTAGCACGTAGCCCCACGGAAAGGGCAAGGTGGGAGGTCAGAACAAATGTGTGGCCGTGGCTACAAAGCACAAGCTATAAGGTCTAGTATTTGACCGAAGTTTGGGAAAGGACAGAGGACTGAAGGTTAGGGTAGGGGTGGTCACGGGTGCAGCAGGAGTGGGCAGCCGTGGGGAAAAGGATTTGAGGTGACAAGCGGGAGGCCAGTTTGGAGGTTTGAAATCTTGGAGACGGGGCACTTCCCAAGTGTGGCCATTCGTGCGGTGGAGAGAGGAGGCCAGTATGGTCGGAGGGCTTGAGGAACGGTGAGGTTGGGGAATAGGAGGCTGTGGTCACTGAGAATGCAACAGCGGGTACTTCTTGAGGGCCTATTCCACGCCAGGTGTGACCGGTGCTGAAAGGCTGGGGTGGGGTCAGGCTCTGAGAAGCAGGTAAGAGGAGAGTGATCGGGGCGTCCCGGGGCCAAAACCTGGAAGGGTTAACGAGAGAGGAGAAAAACCATGGTCTTGAAGTCCTATGCGAGGAGACACTTGGGAAGTGTCTGGAAGACAAAGAAGTTCATGGCGGACAGCAGTGGAGTACAACAAACCTTGTATCAAACTCGAGAAAATTTTATTTTTCATGTTCATTTTGATAAAGAAAATTCGATGTTTAAGAAACATTTGCCTCTGCTACTGTATAATATTGAAGAGCTATTAAAATGTTAATATGAGACCACTAAAAATTAAAAAATAGGGTCTGTGACTATAGCTCTGACAAATCTAGATTTGGGAAAGTAAAGTTCTCAATATAGGAGTTACAGTGTGGTAAGCACATAAAAGAATGCTTCCTCTTTATGAAAGGATTTACTGTGGTCCTTTAAGTAGGAATTTGCTAGTGCCCTCATCAGCCACTTGAGAAAATGAAAAGGAAGTTAAAGCCGTATTCGTTTTGAGAGTAGTCTGTTGGATCAAGGACCCACGCCTGTAGACACATTGTTTTCTGGAAAAAGCACAATATGCTCAGAAAGCACAACCTGTTTTCAATCACTTTGGAACACAAAATTTTAGTTCATTGATTAAGTCAGAAAAAAAAATATCTGATGCTAAGGACCATTAAAATGTAAGGCTAACTACCACGAATAGCAGAGATTGTGATAAATCAAATAGCCCTTTTCAGTAACACGTATGTAATAACATCCTTTGATGGCTCTTGTGTCTTCATTAGCATAAATACATAGGATAAGCGGCTCTTCAGCAGATAACTTGAAGGAGAGGACTTGACTTTCATCTTTCTTGCCACCGCCTTATGGTTAGATCTTGGTGTTTTTTTTTCGCTCCCTGTAAATGTATGGCATTGTATTACTTTGTGAATGAAGAGAATGTGTAAATATATCTTGAAGAGTTAACTGTAAATATGTAACACCTGGAGTGTCCTCACCGAAGGAAGTGGTTTCGGACTTTGTGTAGCCAAGTGTTAGGGAGGCGCTGGAGGAGTAGGCATGTTCTCGTACTGCTGATTGGAGTCTAAATTGTTACAATCATTTTCAAGAGCAATTTAGTTGTCGTTTCTGGCAATAACAGTGAAATATGTTTATTGAACTAATCCTCTAATTCCTAGGTATATTACTTTTGAGAAAGTTTTGCATGTGCATGTGAGGGGATGCAGAAATATTCGTGGCCTCATGGGATCTCGGAAATGAAAAACTGGAAAGGAATGAAATGTCTATTAATAGGACAATGGGTATATAAATTACAAGCACACTCATCCAATAGCGCACAGCAGTAACAATGAGTGAAATGCAGCTGGAGCTATTAAGGAGGATGAATCTCATAAAGAGAACATTGAGCAAAAAAAATTGCAGAAAGACACGTACAGTGAAAATAAAATTTATGTAAAACTATACATGGTTATGGCTCTGTATGTAGATGTAACATGAGTAGGCACACGTCATGGGAACAATACGCATGGAAAGCAGGGCAGTGTTACCCCTGGGGCAGGGGGGGTGAATGTGGTGTTAGGGGGGGACACACTGGAGACTTCAGTTATGAGATTATGCATTTGATAAGCTCGGTGTTGGGTACAGGACGATCTATTTTATTCACTACATTTTTTTGGTAGGCTGGAAATATAATGATTTTTAAAAGGAGACAAGTAATTCTAGCTTATGAACTGAAGAATGAACAGCCCAGGGGTATGGACGGAAGTAAGGAGGCACACTAGGAAACGGTTTCAGCATCCCGAAGAGTGGAACGGAGGATGGAGCAGTTTCTGGCACGGCAGGAGTGTAACCAATTGTAGCTATTGTGGTGGTGGCTGCTGTCATCGTTGTGGTCGTCATCATAGACATAGGGGGACTGTGAAGAAAGAGAAACTAAGTGTTCCCAGTAGCTAGATTGTACTACGTGCTTTATTTGTCTTTTAGTCTTGACTACAATCTGGGTGTAAGGAATCTGAGGCGCACAGAAGCCAACGCCAAAAGGCACAAGGCTACATAAATTCCTAATGACTCATTTTTCAGTGTTGTTTCAAACATACGCTCTCTCCCGCCAATATACACACTCTTTCCCTGTCTAGCACTTGAAAATAAATTCTAGCATCTCTTCTCTTTGGTTCATAAGTAGCATATTTTGAGTTAAATTTAATAACTCAATAGACCAAACCCATGGGTAGTGCTTTATTACTTATTACAGAATACTTTTGTTATCACATTTTGGCTCTCTCTCAAGTTTTCGTTTGATCCTCCTAACTACTCCGAGGAAAGCAGGGCAGTTGATCATTCCTGTCTTACAGATGAGAAAACTGAAATCCAAAGAGGCTAAATCAGAGGTTCTTAACCCATGAGACCATAAACTCAATGAAATCCTATGTTAAATAGTTTATGACTGAATGGGTTTTCTTCTAGGTGGAAGGTCAATTTTAAATGTTTCAAAGGCGTTCAGGACTCTCCCAAACGGTTTAAATGATGTGCCTAAAGGCAGAGGGCACAGGGTCCTGGTGCAGCTAAGACCCCAAACAGTTTCCTCCCACCCCACACTCAGAATTCTTTCATTCTTTCCATTACAACTTACCGAATCAAACTCCTAATTAGAGATATTGGTGAAATACTTTTTGTAATGTTTACTGATTGCTAAGGTGCCAACGTTATTAAATGTACCGAAACATCTTACCTGGGAATTCGGTTTGTTCAGCTGTTGGGCGGTCACTAATCTACAAGGTGTTACTTTTCAAACGAACAAATCAAGAGCTGTCCTGTTACAAACACGCCCTGACACAGACTTGCGAAGAAAGGAATCTGATACAGTAGCTATGTAACGTATTTTACAATTCTGGGTAATCTATAAAGAATAATTATGAGACATAGCTTGAGCTAGAGGTGGGAAGCGGACCATGAGCTGAGAATGGGATTTTCATTTCTCCTGAACCCCCTACCTAATGTCTCGAGGTTTCCCAGATGTAAAAGAATGAATGAAAGTAGATCACTTTTCAGAATTCTTCCCATTCTACCATTGTTGCAATTGGATAGGATTTAAAATAGGAAGCGCAACAGGAGTTTTGGGTATAAACTGTACGCAAAGTCTGTTCACGTTAGCCTTCTTTTCCCAGTAAGAAAGGCCTCGAACGCCCTAGGTGGGTTACTACCGGCCATTAGTCCAAAGTGTCCGGGCCCCACTGGCCCTGCCCTTTAAGAAGGTCAGGCCCGCAGCCCCCCTCCGAGTGACGTAAGGGTGGGCGGAGAGAATGCCGCGGGAGGCCAGAGGTCCAGGGGAGTTTCAAACCCGAGGGCTCTCAATCCTGCATTTAGGAATGGAGGAATGCGGAACGCCCCAGCCCAGCCTGGGCCCAGGGATCGGTTTAAACCCGGCGGGGGAGTGCGAGCCTTTTGAGGGTGGGGCTTCGGGCCCGGAGGCCGTTTGTGCGCTGGGAAACCTCCCTCCGGATCCCGGCTCCCGGGCTGTAGGAGGTGGCTGGCTGCGCCTCACTGGGAACCAGCTCGCCTGGCGGGGCCACGTGACCCGCCGACGGGGCGGGGAAAGGCGCGCCCCGCCCCGCCCCGTCCCGCCCCGCACGCCTGCGCGCGGCTCCGGCGCTGAAATTCAAATTTGAACGGCAGCCTGAGTCCGAGTCCGACACTGGAAGCTGCGGGGAAGAGGCGAGCAGGTTGGGAAGAGTCTCCCAGCCCCGGACTCCTTGTTTTCTCCAAGTGAAACACTGACTCGGGACTCACTTTTCTTTTTCTGAATTTGAACCGCCGTCTCTCCGTCGTCTCACAATCGACACGCGAAGCCCGGGGCGATGGACCCGTTTACGGAGGTGAGAAACCTTGCGGGCGCCGCGGGACTTGACCCTTCCGGTCCCCCTACTCTCCTTTCGCTCCTCGGGGCCTACCCGGCGGAGAGCGCGTGCGCAGAGCGTGCGTGCCGCGGCCGCGGGGGCCGCCGGAAGCAGTCCGGGGTTTTTATGCTGATGAATGGCTGGGAGCAAAGTTTGCAGTCTGCCCTCAGAGGTGGTGGGGAAAGCTTCAGGTCAGCCCTGGTTATTATTGGACTGCCTCTCCCGAGTGGAGCCCTGTCCCCCCAGAGTGAGGGTGGGGTTGGACGGAACAGGTCCCACTGGAAAGAAAAGCGGGGACAACTTGTAGGGTGGGGTTGGGTGCCCGGGTGACTCACCGTTGTGTGTGCAACCGCCGCCTGGAAATGGAAATGGAATGGAATATGTTTGCGGGATTCGTGCGACCCGCAGAGGGGCTGAGTGTGCACTTAAGGGTGCTGCCCTTGGAGTGACAGAGAGATACAATAAGCTGGTCCCCGAGACCATCGCATCTGTTCCTATGAAGCCAATAGCTCCTTCAAATTCCTTGCGCAAGGATGAGGTTTCATGTCCAATTGACATGTAAATTGAAAGGAAAAGTGCTAGCCCAAAGTGTACAAATCAAAGTTAGTAGACCACGATTAAAAAAAAAACACAGTAAAGAAACCTTTTTATGTGTGTTTATGGGTAACTTCACAGCAGTGTTTACTTGGAAGTTGAATATGGATTAATTTCATCCTTACTGTGCGATTATTTCTCTAGTTTTGACTTCTTGTTGAGGACTTATGGTTCTTCCTCTTTCTTAAGGTGGTTGTGCAAGTTTCCAACGGTTATTTTTTGAATTACTGCTTAGTAGACCTAAAATAATGTCTCTTCACTAGATTAAAATGCTTAAATGCTGTGGAGAGTAGTAATTCTTTTTTTTTTTGAACTGTAACTACAATTCTGTAAGTCTAAGATATTTAGACGTTTCAACAATTAGAGTTTACTTGTTTTCAAACACAATATTTATTTTTGTTTCAAATTCCCAGTCATCTTGAGAGAAAACACATTCATTTGCTTGCCTTTTAAAAATTCTGACAAAAATCCAAAACACATTTTTGTATTAACCTCAAAGAATTGGGTTGGTCATGCACCTTGTTTTTCACTTACATTGTAGTTAAGAAGGATGTCTTTTTTTTACGTTACTTAGAATGGGATTTATTCTATTAACCTGTGTGTTCTGAATATTTGTTTTTATTCTAAGCGACTAACAGGGACAAAGCATTTTAAAAGTTGGCTGAGAGTTGTACTTCATTTTACATAAAAATGTCATCCTGAAGCAGTACAAATCTCAGTTGAAAGAAGCTTTATTTGAAAGAAAACTCATTTTATAGAGGGCTCAGAAAGATGTACTGTTTAATATGCAGGTTTGTATTATGAACAGTTAGGTCTGTTGCAGTTGGAATAAACAGCTTTGGCATCTTTTCCTTAATTGGTAATGAGTGAATTATTTGAATTGGTTCCAACCAGTAGGTGCTTAATTATAGCATTCATAACATTTTTCGCAGAGTGGAATGAACTGGCACGGTTCCTTGTCCGAAAAGCACTGGAAGTCAGTTAGAATGACTTCCTCAACCAGCGCTTCTTACCAGAATCATAGCACACAGGAACTTATCTGAGAGAGAATTTTCTCAATTTTCTCATGCCATCCTACGAGCCTAGGAGAGATTTGAACTCAAGACATTGACATCAAGGAACCAGGGCTTAATTCTCTGGGTAATGGTGGTTGAAGAAGGCCCCAGCCCTCCTAATCTCTCTTTTCCTTGGCCCTCCCTGCCGTCCCTGGGGCTTTCTGGCACGCCCTTCTCCCTGCCTCTTGTGCCTGGCCAACGCTGCTTTAGCCTCCTGCTCACTGTTGGGCCCCCCTTCTTCAGAGGGAAGATCCCCTCTCACAGGGCTTAGCTCACTTGCATTCTCCTCTCGACCTCGTGTCTGGCCAGAATGCGGAGCTTCCTGGAGGTTGTAGGCCTGTTCTTCCCTGTTCAGGGAGATGTTTCCCTAACCTTAAGCAGGTCCTGTAACACTCTGCTGAACTAATTAATATAGGAGAGAGCCATTCGGTGCAAATTATTTTACAGTCAGATAGCTACATACACGCAGTAGCTGCTGGAACATGTTAGCAATGTTTTTTATTGTAGGAAATTTCAAATCACACGAAAGTGTAACTGCTCAGGCATTCGCCACCCAGCAGCACTGTGTCCCCCACCTCTAGTCCTTCCCACTGAGTTATCTGAAAGCAAATCCTAGAGGTCGTATCATTTCCTACATAAAAATCGCCAGTGTCTTTCACAAAATGCGAAGGGCTTTAATAAAAAAAAATCAGCATGTCATTATCACCCCTGCACGAGTAACAATAGTTCCTTCATAGCAAGTCTTCTGCCAATGCTCAGATTTCCCTACTTGTCCTGAGCTTTTGCAGCCTGCTTGAATCAGACCTAGACAGGTCCATGGGGCCATGTCTTTCTAAAGTTTTTCCCGGACCAACCAGAAGTAATGACTTCACCTTAATTCGTGGACAACCCGGCAGGTTAAGCAGATGTTTATTATTAAGATCTGATATGAACTGTTAGCATTAGAAAGTCATGTTGATGGTATGGAAGTAGTTCTCTGACAATGAGTTCTTAAAAAGAGCGATAGGATTTCGTCAAAGGACAGTTTATAGCAGAGTGTGTAGGAGCCGGGCGCTGGAGCCTGGGTTTGGACTCTGCCTGCCTGCTCTTGGCTCTGTGGCCTATGGCTTGTTGCTGAACCTGCGCCTGGAGTTTTTCAGCTGGAAAACAGTAGTGAAAAACAGAACCTACCAAATAAGTTTTTTTTTTGTTTTAGGTTTTGCAAATGACATGAGTCCGTGTGTGCAAACCCTGAGAGTACTTTATATCACATCCTACGTACGCGTTCGTGAGCATTCATGATGGTGGTCGCACCATCAGGTGAATTTACCACCATAAACTTACTGCTCGTGACCTTGCTGTCACCCTCTTAGCGTGGAGATCCGCTCACCTCACGGGTGAGGGTCATCCCAGTCCAGGACCAGCCCGAGGGAGACGCAGGGCTGGGCGTGCCCCGTCAGAACTCTCTGTGCAGGAACCCTGAGAGAGAAAGGTTGCCGTGAACATGCTTTGGGAAAGCATCACTTCCTGAGATAAAAATAAACAAACATGCCGTTAATGTTTCGAACGGCGTTTTCCTTATTTTCCAGAATTAAATGGAAACCTCTGTATTGACCTAGGAGAGGGTGCCTCTGGCACACATTGGACATGACCAGTTTATTTCTGTTGTTGCGTCTACTCTGTTTAAGGAGGCAGGGGGAGCAGTGACACTTCTAGAAAAATTTGTCAGAAGTGATCAACGTGGGTGTGGCAGAAGTTGGTTAGGGGCTGTAAACTTCAGTTACCCTAGATTCCTCCCTGTGGAGTATCTTATTCCCTGGTTCTGTTAGTTATTGCAGTGCTTATTTTTTTATTCCTCTCCTCTTTGAAGAAGGAATGTGCCTTACGAACAAAAGAACCATTAAGTTCCTGATACACCGTTATAAGGAAGGGCGACCTAAATTTATTGAGCTGTTGAATTCGTATACATACATCATTTCTTTTAAATTAATAATATTTGGTACTTACTTGTTTTTATTTTACAGGTTAGGGCACTTTTTCTTGATTATCTACTTTATTTTTCATCTTGAGATTTTAGATCCAAAGTAGACACTAGAACCCTTGTGTAAGTTTGAAAGGCAAAGCCACATTCTTTCGCTGTGACCCGCGGCTCACAGTAACTGAAGCTGCTCTGACTCGCCAGGACTGGGGTGGAATGTGGGCGTGTCCTTGGTTGCAGCCTTGTCTTATCTGGGGAGTGACAGGTTTTCTGGGGGGGTGGGGAGTCACCAGACACACTTTGTGTAACTGTCACTTTTGAGATTGTGGAGGAGCTCTGTTTGGAGAAGAAAGGCTTTGTGCTTTGGAAGGCACGTGGTTCACAGATCACCCTTCAGTGACGGCGTGGAGATTTAGTGTCCCTGTGAATGAACTTGATGTTCGAAGTGGTCCCTCCAGAGGGGAGATGCCTCCCTCCCAGCGGAGCTCATGCTTCTGTTACACACTCAGAGGGATTTTTAAAAGCTGATGTTCTGTTTTAATTAAGGCAGTGAAAAGGCCAGATGGAATTTCATTTCCGAGCCGGCTCAGTGCTGTGTCTGTGCTTGCAGGGCTGTGTATGAGCTCCAGCCAGTGATCTGCGTGCCCGCCCCCAGACCCAGATGGGGGCCTGTGGGGGAAATGATTGCTTTACAGGTGTCGTGGTTTTTTTTACTTGCTGCTTCAAACAGGAGCTTCGGTGGTCAGGGCAAGGAAAGAGTAATCATGATTTTGTGGAATGGCTAGGATTTCAATGTAAAACTTTTATATTGATATTTAATTAAAGAAAACATGATGATTGTTTAGGTTTTTTTTTTTCTCTTAAGATGTGCCGTGTGTTTTCAAAGGCCTGATACGTCAGCTATCTCCTGCTGTTTACCGCCACCCCAGGTCTTAGCGGCTGCATTAGTTTTGCTGTTGTAATAAATCACCTCGGGCTTTGTGGCTCAAGATCACATGTACCTCTTCTGTAGGTCAGAAGTCTGATGGACTTGACTGGGTTAAAATCAAGATGTTGGCAGGTCTCCTTCCAGAGGCTCTAGGGGAGAATTTACTTCCTTGCCTTTTCCAGCATCCAGAGGCCATCTGCACTTCTGGGCTCCTGTCTCCTTCATCTGTGCTCACAGCCACCAGTTACATCACTCTGATCTCGGCTTCCGATGTCACGGGTCTCTGACTCGGACTTTCCTGCCGCTCCCTTTTCCCTGACAAGGGCTGTTCAGACTATGTTGGCTCACTCTGGTCTCCGGATCTCGATTATTTACTTAATCACACCAGCAAACTTCCTTTAGCTGAGCAGCATATCCGTAGGTTCAGGGCATTAGGATTTGAACATCTACGGGTGGGACCATTATCCTGCCCACTTCCCTTAGCGCCTAAAGCACCGACCACGCTGGTTCTCGAGATACGGTGTTAGGCTCACGTGGGCTGTGCTCCGCTCGGTCTCCCCAGGGGCCACGCAGGAGTCTGCAGTGACCTGGCAGGTCATCTGGGACCGGATGGGCTAACATGGCCTTACTCCCGTGTCTGGTGGTTGATGTCACCTGAGCCGGGGGGGGTCTCCAGCAGGCTCACCTGCGCTCCTTCGTGGGGGCAGTGCTCCTAGGGAGGGAGAGTGGAAACTGCAAGACCTCCGGAGGCCAGGGGTTGGAAGTCACAACACTGTGTCCCCTCTGCCACATTCATTGGTCGGAGTGTATCATGAGGCCAGCCCAGTTCAGGGGTGTGGAAGCAGATTCTGCCTGTTCATGGAAACAGAAAAAAAACCGTGCCCATTTAAAATCTTATGCCGCTAGCTACCCCCCTTTCATGTTCATATCACACCTGTAGTAATTTGGACATTGGCATGCTGCTCATTTAGCAGATCTTGACTCAAATTACGTAGGATTCCATTTTTGAAATGTATTTAACTGTTACCCTACGTGGCAACTGGTGATTTTAGAAGGCCCCTGGAGTTCTGTGCGCCTTTGACTAACCTGCGTTTTAAATGTCACACGTGTAGAAACTGCTCGAGCGCACCCGTGCCAGGCGAGAGAACCTCCAGAAGAAACTGGCAGAGAGGCCCACGGCAGCGCCCAGGTCTGGGGCTCCTGCCAAGCGGGCCCGGCAGCCGCTGGCAGAAGCGAGTAACCAGCCGTCTGGGGCGGAAGGTAAGACTGTGCGGGAAAGCAGACTCCGCCTGTTCTGAAGGAGGGGAGCCCGGGCCCTGCATCGTGCGTGTGGGAGGGTCCAGGTCCTGGGGAGACGCGAGCCAGAGCCCCTGCGGGAAGGGCCGGCCTTCTCTCCCGGTGCAGGGTGGCTGCTCGTGGGGGGCCTAGACCCTGCAGGGCTGAGGCAGGGGTTTTCTGTTTCCTGCTTTTTGTTTTTTTTAATATTATTTTTATTTATTTATTTACTTATTTATTTAAGACTTTATTTATTTTAGAGAGGGAAGGGAGGGAGAAAGAGAGAGAGAGAGAAACATCAACGTGCGGTTGCTGGGGGCCGTGGCCTGCAACCCAGGCATGTGCCCCGACTGGAAATCGAACCTGCGACACAAATATTATTTTTAAACAAATATTTCAAAATCATCGGTTGAACTTCATTTTTCTCAATCCAAGATTGTTCTTATTAACCCCCCTCACCCCCACCCAGGGAAGACAGTGCGGGTGCAGGGGAGCCCTCCTGCTGGCGTGGGGGCGGGGTCGTCTGCCCCAAGCCCTCGGGCCTGCCGATGGGACCCCTGGTGCTCGGCCGTGAAAACAGAGGCCAGGTCCCCGCCCAGGGTCTTCTGTCTTCCTGTGACATGGGTCCCTCCAGTCAGGTAGTGCGTTCCGATGGTGGGACCCGCCTTTTGATGCTTGCATGGAGGCATTTACTGTTTTACAGAAGAACTGAAATTCAAAGAACTCTGTATTTCCGGGTGGTATTGCACACTAAAGTAGAAACACTTCCACAAAATGATCGGAGTGGTTAATGGAGAGCAAACGCGCTGCAGAAGGCTGGGGAATCTCAGGATGTGCGTTCAGTGGGAGGGGTGCTGGGAAGGGCGGCCCCGCCCTCTCGCCGGGTTGCCGCCGCAATGAGGGCCCTTGGTCAGGCCAGCGGTGGAACGGCCACTTGTGAAGTTCACAGTCTCCCTTTTTTAAAATGCTGATTTTTCAGGAGACATGTGAAACTCATTCTTGGGTTGGAATAATATGCCTTATATTCAGATAGCTCCTTTTTATTGGAGAAGTTTAACAGTTTGACTTCTCTGAAAAGCAGGTGGCTGGGCTGGAGGGCCTGTAACGCCCCTGGGCCATTTCTGTGCAGACGCACTTGGACTTCCCCGTGGCCCTGAACCGCGTGACACGTTATATGTGCACCCTCAGAGTGTTCCTTGTTTCTTTTCATTCCGATTTTTTAAACCGTCAATTATGTTTTCTTAAAAAGAAATCTCACATATTAGATTTCTAAGTTACAGAAAGAAGATAGAATTATACATATTTCTTGTAAGTAAAATCTTTTAAAGGCTTGGAGGAGCAGGAGGTTTTATTAATTTGTTAAGTACTTGTGGCAGGTTGTTGGTGCTGTGAGGTAGCATGGGATTTTGAATTTCCACTCCTTTTTAATCCAGAGAAATCTTGCACAAAACCGTCACCATCAAAAAAGCGCTGCTCCGACAACACTGAAGTGGAGGTTTCTAACGTGGAAAATGAACAACCGGTTGAGCCAGCTCCTGCCGGACCTTGTTCTCCGAGTCCTGTGTCCCCTCAGGCACGGCCGCAGGCGCTAGCCCCGGCCAGCGGGTCCCCGCCCGCCACCCAGGCGTCTCTGCTCGGCCCGAGAAGAGGGCCGGACGCGGGACCGGAGGCGACGGCGGGTTCCTCGGTGAAGACGCGGATGCAGAGACTGGCAGCCCAGCGGCGCCACTGGGCTGAGCAGGAGGACGGGACGGGGAAAAACGGTAGGGATGGCGTGGCCCCTGATGTCCGGGTCAGTGAGGGTCCGCGGGCAGGGAATGCTGGGACTGTGTTTGTCGGTTCACACAAGGAGGTGCACGCTGTTGCTTTGTCTGTGCCCCGGAACCCGTCTCCTGTGAGTGGTTCGGGTGCCATCGTGTGTTTGTCAGGCGGCGGCTCTCGGGGCAGCAGATGATGGGGCTCCTGTGCTCCTGGCACCGTTAGCCCCGCTGACCTTCGGCTCTGTGTGCGAGACATCCCGCTGTGTGGGGTGGCTGAGTGAACTTGAGTGACTGGTGTGCAGTGCTGTTGAATGGGGGAGGGAGGGAGCTCTCAAAAGCAAACTGCCGAGCGCCTGCAAAGCGGGTTACTCCTCGGCCGAGGTGCCGGGAGCAGGTGGCGCGACCCCATCTGCACCCTCCCGGCCCGTGGTTGGGTGGGGAGCCTGGGGGCGGATGGGCAGCCATGCAGCAGGGCTGTTCCTTCTGTGGTCAGTTTATCTACCTCCTACCTTGTTGCAAAAAATGCCTCACAAAATATTGTCACAAAATGAGTAAATAAGGAAATCAGCGTGAAGAGAAGGAAAAAGAAAGCGAAGGCTGAGGTTAGTGTATTCATGACCCACCTTAAGTTCCCCCTCCTTGCTAGAGAGGGCTCTGAACTTGCCAGCAGCCCCTGGAAAGAGACAATCTATTGACCGCGTGACCAGTGTTTACAGGATAAAAGCAGAACTCATCACGGACCCCGAGACCCTAGAAAACTCTCCTCCCTGTGCCCTCAAAGATGGCCGTGTGCGGGCTAGTGAACAGAAGAGGTTCCGCACGAGGCCCGCGACCCGGCTCCGAGCTCGGGCCGGTGAGAGCAGCTCCGAAGGGAGTTGTGGGGCACTGTGCGGGCGGACAGCACCGAGCAGGCGGACAGCTCCGCGGCGGCAGGGCCTTCCCCAAGCAGGGGATGCTCAGCGCGGCTTTCCCGGCCGGGCTCCTGCGTGCCCATCGTCAGCGGTCAGATTGGAGTCTCTCGGGAGCGCAGCGGAGCCCTGGAGAGTGCTTTGAGTGCTTTGTCTTTTTTTTTCTTTAAAGCTGCGGCTAATTCTGATGCACAGCCAGAGTCGAGGCCAAGTGATCTGAAGAAATGGGTGGACTGCGTGGCAGTCTTCCGTAAATATCAGTTCTTTTCATAGGAATTTGGAGACCTTGGACAGCAAGGCATTTGAGATTATCCTTTCTGGCAATGATGATAATCTCAAGAGCAAACACTGTGTGAAGTGCTGGGCATTTAAAAATTTTTTTTTATTCTAATGCCAAACAGGACTGTAGTAGGTATAAGCCAGTTAAATGGTTGAGGACTTACACCGAAATGCACTGTATTTGAAGGGTTGTGTTCGGACAGAGACTAGAAGGGCAGAGCCCACTCCCAAAACAGCGTCCGCTGAGGACGGCGCTTGCTCCGAGGAGATGGTAGCGGTGCGCGCACAGGGATCGAGGGAGCGTGGGCTCAGGGGAGATTTTCTGCAGGAGTCAGGGGTGACCCAGCCGGCCTTTGAGGCACTGCTGGCTTCAGACGGCGGAGATTTTCTGGGGCAGAAGCAGCAGAACGTGTAAGAAGCACAGATACCGTGAACATAGAGTGTATAAAGTTGGTGTTCTGGTGTGCAGTGCACGTGGGAGAGAAAGAGGAGCTGCACTTGAGGCAAGCGGCAGGGTGCAGAGCCTTCGGGGGTTAGCCAGGAGGTGATGGGGAGGTGCAGGGGGAGTTCAGGGCGCCAGGTGCTTCAGAAAGCTCTCCGGGCTGCAGAGTGGGGGAGGGTTGACTCATGCAGAGATGGGACGTGGGAAGACCAGCTGGGAGGCTCGTGTCACAGTCCAGATGTGTGGTGACGAGGGCCTGCGGAGGCGAAAAGGAGAGGCTGGTGTGGGAGGGTTAGGGGAAGGAACCTGTGGGACTTGATGGCGGGATGGAGGACGAGGGGAAGGGGGGAGAGGCCACGGCACGGAGGGATGTGTGTGTTGTGCTGTGAACGTCAGGCGTGTTACTAACTAACTGTGGGCAGTTAGGAGGAGACCAGGAAAGAGGCCACAGAGACTCGGCGAGTGGAGGGCACGTCACACAGGAAGTAAGTGCAAGGCCTGCAGAGTGCGTCCTGGCATCTGGTGACAAAAGCAAACGCAACTCCCGGGCAGGTGCGGTGAGCTGAGTGGCGAGCGAATGTTGTGCAGGCGAAGAGGGGCAGTAGCTGAGAGGGGTGCACATTGATGAGACGAGGTTCGTGTCCAGTTTTAACATGAGAGGGACAGGCGCATACTCACGTGCAGAGGACACTGTGTGGACGGAGGAGGAGGGGTTGTTTGGAGCAAGATCCCTGAGGAGTTTGGGAGGGGCGGAATTGCAGCTCCAGGGGGAGGTGTGATCCTTGGACTGTAGGAGGGATGCCCTTCTGTGGTCTGAGTTTGTGGAAGAGGAAGTGTCGTGACCTTTGACTTCCCTATCAGTACATACAGTGTTTATGCTTGCAGACCCCAATCCTTCGCAGTGTAAGTGTTCCTTATTTGAGATTTATCTCCAAATGAAGATAAACCGGAAAACCTTTCTAGTCTAACCCTGTGCTACCCAGTACCATAGCCACTGGCCCTATGTACCTTTTAAGACTTGAATTAATTAAAATGAAATGACATCAAGCTTCTCCATTGCCCTGGCCGCATTTTGAGTGCTCACTGGCCACGTGTGGCTGCTGGTCACTGTACTGGACAGCCAGAGAGGACGTGGCCAGCATCACAGGAAGCTCTGTGGACAGCACTGTGGTCCAACTCATCCTTACAACCAAGAGTTCCTGGGGACCACGTGATCTTAAGTTGCGCAGCATCACAGCCCCACACATTCTAAAAATATAACCCGAGTGTGTGCTATCTTACAGCATTCAAAATCCACCAAAGGATTGGAGAAAAAATACGTGTAACGAAGTTTCATTTTTCTTTTTGATTTGGAGTATCATCTGATTTATGGTCAAACTTCAGCAGGTGGTACCTGCGTGCATGAGAGCTTTTGACTAGTTCTTGGACCTCTTCACCTCATTTAAAAATGCTCACCCAGTGGTCCTGGTGTCCCCACATGCAGGCACCTCTTGCCCACGGGTGTTCATTATTTCCCTGCAAACGTTCGCAGGTGATGTCCCCGAAAGCCCGCTCACCGCAGCCGTGCCCGCAGAGGACAAGGCGGCCTCCCCGCCCAGACCGTCGGAAGCCTCGGCGACTCCGATCGGGAGAAGGGGCCGTCTGGCCAACCTTGCTGCGGCCATTTGCTCCTGGGAAGATGATGTCAGTCACTCATCTGCAAAGCAGAGCAGCGCCCAGGGACAGCCTGGCACCACTTGTTTACCCACCGCTTCCTCTGCCAGCGGAGCATCTGCTGGGCTCAATAGCAGCAGTGTTAAGCAGGAAGCTACATGCTGCTCCCCAAGGGATGGCCATGCCTCCTGGAATAGAGGCCCGACCTCGAGAGCCGAGGGTGCGCCTTTGATCAAGGTCGCAGTTTCCAGCTCTGCGGTAAGGAAATACGTCTTCGTCTGTTTCTTTTTCTTTTTTTCCCTTCTTTCGTTTTTTGTTCTGTAAATACAATTTTAAGTACAGAAAACCTTTCCTTTTGTTATGAGTGCTAATGTATATTTATGTGCAGGTATGTGTTTTTGTAACATACCCACAGTGTTTATGTGTAGTTTTAGATTGCTGGTCTCTTAGAAAGTGGAAGTCATCAATTTGGTACCCAGTCCCCGGATAAGAGGGCGGTTAACAACCAGTGCCATTCCACGGTCTGTGATATGAACCCGTGGAGCCTCTTCTTTGTCCTCAGGGAGAACACTGAGAATCACTTTCTGCATTAGGATGCTTTGTGCGTATGCATAAGTGGGAGGCAGGAGGAGATATTTCTGGAAACTAGCAGGTGTGGTTACCAGACGGCAGTTGTCATTGGTGGGTACGGTACTTTCACTGTCTGCGTCCTTTCGAAAGGTTCCCCTGCGCATGCACAGTTTTTTAAAAAATCATAAGAAACCAAAAAAATGAAGGTGTGCTCCTGAGCATCGTCTTTCCCTGTGGGGCTGGGTTTGGGGTCAGCCATGGGCGCGGCCCCAGCCCTGCCTCAGGGTTAGCCGTGTGGCTCCCGACACGTCACTTCGTCCTGCAAACCAGGAAAGGGCTCTGGGGACGGTGACGTGAGAGAGCGTGCACGGAGCTCCGAGTGTGACTGTGACACGTTTTGTTAAAATAATCCTGACTTAGTGAAAACACAAAAAATATATAATGTGGTCTGACACAGTTACAGTTTATGAACGTACTAGTGTGATACTATGAAAGAAATTGGTTTTTAAAACAGTGAGTGACTCTGTTCCTCATGCTAAATTAGCCATCAGTATATTATGCAGACTGAACTGAATACTCTGAATTACAGTGTTTTCTTAATTATGCTCTGAATTGTAGTGTTTTCCCAGTTGGTTTTTTTTTCCCCCCAAATGTTTCTTGTGGGTTTGCTCTATCGGATAGCAAGACCGTTTTTTCAGGAGTTTACGTGAAGGCCGCGGAGCACAGAGGATTTGGGTGGTTTTGTTACGGGGCTGTGTTTAGATAGTGTGAGTTGTTGTCTACCCCAGTATTACTGCGTTTCAGAAAGCCCCCTCCCCTGTGAAGTCTGCCGCGCCCATCCCTGGTGCCAGAAGTCTCGAGGTCCAAAGTCCCGAGCGGCGTCAGAAAGCTCCGGCCCGGCCCCTGGACACCGAGGCGTTGAGGCCGGTGGGGGGGTCCGCTGTGCCCCCGACGGTTCCGCCCGAGGAAGCATTAAGCAGAGAAGGTCGTCTGCAGCCTCCGCTGAAAGACAAATCTACAACACCAGGTTATGCATTTTTTAAAAATCTGAAGTTCCTGCTGATTGTTTTCAGGGTTTCTGTTCTCAGCATTGTAGGCGTCGGTTGTGAATGGCACAGTGTTGGTTGGCCAGAGCGGGTGTCGGCTGTGTCAGAGGAGACGTCCTCAGGGGCGGCAGCTTTAGTTGAGAGACTAGACATGCACCAGCACAGACTCACCCAGACACTGGCCAGAGTGTTTCACCTGGCACATCGCAATAGCTCAAACACGCTTTTCTCTCAGAATGACTGTGCTAGGTACTTTCTTCTGCACTTTTTGGTGCTGGACAGCACACGTGCAGCTGGACGTGGTGTTGTACGGGCAGCATGGAGAAATTCTCGCCACTAGGTGTGGGGGGCAGCGCTTCTCATCATCACTGTGAAGGCGCCCCAAAAGCAAGGGGGGTGAATGTGCACGCCAGTGACCGCACCCCCAGTTGTACTGTGGTGTGTGCTGTGTGTGAGGGTGTGCACATGAGCACATACAGAGTTACCTTGTTTGTGGCGTGGACACTCACCCCCAGTGCGTGCGCCAGCACGGTGCTGGTGAGAAGCACGGGACTCAAAGCGTGGGGACAGCAATTACTCCGCACTCTGTTCTTTCTCATCGGAATTGCTTCCAAATTTTAACTTCCTGAAAACTCTTTTCTCCAGAACCCATAGTCCATCCTGAAAGGGAAGCGGACAGAGAGGTGGGGGTGGGGAATCCACTGGTTATGGGCTGAATGGAAGCCAGCCTTCAGTTTCTGGATGAGCCAAAAGGAGATTGGAAACAACAGCAAAATCCCAACACGGAGAAGGATTAGTTACTTCCAGGTTTCTACAGATTTAGGGCACAGCAAGGAATGCCTAGATAAGAAGCATCCTTTTTGTTGTTCAGGGCCTGGAAGATGTTTAATTTACATTTCTTTGTATTGTTAATGGACTCCAGGGACCTCTGAAGTCTTCACACTGTGGCTGTCATTCCAACTGCCCTTCACCTGTTCTTGCAAACCCGGTTTTACTGGGACACACCAGGCCCTTTACCACTGACTGCTCTCCTGCCTCAGAGCGGAGCCGAGTCGTGGCGGTGGCTGCACGTTCTGCAAAGCCCAGATGCTCACTGCTGGCCCTCCACAGGGGACAGGCTGCCGGTTTCTGACGCAGGCAAAGCTGCTTGGACCCTCCCGACAGGAGAGCCCGTCTCGTGGCTCTGCTCCGCTGCGCCCCACGCCGGCTTAGCTCCTGGGGTGTTACGTCAGGGTTCTTAAACGCAAGATAAAACAAGGTGGGCTGTAGACATGCAAGTAGTCGGGTTATCGTGGCCAGGACACCTGGTAGTTAAGGTATGTTATTGATGCCTACACAGTCAGTTTCCACTTGTTTGGGTTCTGATTGATCATTGTGTTTAAGGGTTTTCTAACACCCACAGTCCTTTCATTCCACCTTAAAAATAACTTTTTTTTTTTTTTAAGAACTAAGTCCTGTAATTAAATTTTAGGGCATGGAATGAAATAGTATGGTAAAAATTAAAAAAAAACCTTTAAGCCATTTTTGTATTGTTTACTTTCTGAATGAATATTCCTAGTAGATAGATTCAAAGCATTCTGGAGCTGTCCTGGGTTTTGGAGCCTTTGCCAGAGACACCCTCACGGTCACTGGTTCTGAGTCGCCTCCAAAGACGTGTGTTTTCTGTCGTTGGGGCAGGAGTCAAGCCTTTCCTGGAGCGCTTCGGAGAGCGCTGCCGAGAGCGCAGCGGAGAGAGTCCAGCCCGCCACACACCCCACCGGGCCCCCGTGGTCACGCCAAACACAAAGGCCATCCAGGAGAGGCTGCTAAAGCAAAACACATCCTCCCCCACGACCCATGTGGCTCAGCGGCTCAGGCAGGTACGGCTCACTGCCTCTGACGTCACCCACTGCGTGGTCTCGGCAGAGGGTCTGGTCTGTGCAGACCACGTTGTGCATTCTCACAGCAGTCCTTCTGACCGAGGTGAACAGTGTCTTGGGTCTCTGTATCGTGTGTTTCAAATTAGAAATATTATTGTCCTGTATTCTGTGCATATTGTGATTTTTTATCTTTTTTTAAAAAATAATAAAAAAAATTTATTCACTTATTTCAGACAGAGGGGAAGTGGGGGAGAAAGACGGAGAGAAACATCAATGTGTGGTTGCCTCTCACATGCCCCCTACTGGGAACCTGACTTGGCCAGTAACCCAGGCATGTGCCCTGACTGGGATTTGAACCGACGACCCTTTGATTCACAGGCTGGTGCTCAGTCCACTGAGCCACACCAGCCAGGGTGATTTTTTTTTTTTTATACTGGTCCCACCACCACCCCAGGGTGGTTTTTTTTAATCTTAACATTGAAGACAAGCAAAGTTAGTAGAGTTTGGATATTATTCTTAAACATGCAATCAGCTCTTCTGTAAAATAGAGCTTTTGATGGTTTCAGGAACGGGAGAAAGAACTAGCATGTCTTCGTGGCCGATTTGAAAAGGGCAATTTATGGAGTGCAGAAAAAGGCGAGAACTCAGGGAGCAAACCACTGGAAACCAAACAGGTAACACAAATGAGAAAGAAGAGTGAGCTCAGCACCAGAGCGGTGCTGGGATCTTGTGGTGGTGGTGCTGCGTGGCACACAGCTCTGCAGGTGCTTTCCTGTCCGGTTGGCTTTGCCACTGTCCCTCCCTGAGCTGCTTGCGTGTCCGTGCCAGCCCCCCTCTTCTTTTGTGACTCAGTGGAACTCTTTACCAGACTCCTGGTGGCCTATGTACATTCGGGTTTAAAGCCATTATTCTCATCATTTCATTCACCTCTGATTCCTTTCGGCATCCTACGTAGGCGCTGGTTCTACAGCATTTCTCAGAACCTGCTTCTCTCCTTAATGATCGGGTACTTCTCCCCAAACACGCTTCTTGAGATGGCCTGCAATCCTCCCCGTGACCAGATGCCTCCCAGGTTGCTCTTTGCTTCTGTGCTCCCTCCCACCCATTTCCTCCAAAGACGTGCACCAGCCTTCAGCAGATCCCAGCTTGTGAATGTAAGCTGTGTTCTGTTTCATCTGCGTGCTCACTGCGTATAATAAAGTCCTGTACTAGGATGCACTTTTAAGCTAGAAATAAGAGTTATATATAAAGTGGGCACCACGAGAAAAAGAACAATAAATGGGACCAGAATGCTCTGAGTAATACCTACCTGATTTTTTTTGTCAGTTCTCTTGCTTACCAAATGAGGTTCCCCAGAGTTCTAATCTCAGCTACGCTTTCTTCTCGCTTGCCTGGGGACATCTCTTCCCCACCCTCACCCGGCTGCAGCCCAGCACAGGAGGCTCGTGATGCCCAACTTTGCGCACACCTGTCTCCGGAGCTCCAGGCTGGCTGGCTGGTCGGGCCTCTGCTCTCACCGCTGTCTCGTCCCCACGCGGCGTCCGTCTCCCATCGGGGCTTCCCCTGTGCCCCGTCATTGAAAACAGTCCGGAGGTTCCCCCTTGACTCCTTCCTCTGACACTGTGTCTTCCCGCCTCCTGGCCGCTAGCACGCACAAGCTTGTGTGCACACGCGCACACACAAACACACACAGATGCAGTGGCACGTTTTCTAAATCTGTCACCAGGCTGCCTTGTCCTGGGGGTTTTCCCGTGCCGTCACCTTAATCACGGACATCGCTTTGTGTGTGTGTGACGCCCTGTGTCTAGCCGGGCTACTTCTCTCTAGTGCATCTCTCCACGGCTGCCAGAGAAGTATTTTTAAGAGACAAGTATTCATGTAGTCACTTGCTTAACATCCTGGAGGGCTTCCCATAGCTCTCACCAGAAAGCTGTCAGGGTGCTTGGCTTGGCCCCCAGGGTCATTCAGAACCCACCTCCTCCCGTGTGCGTCCGTCTGGTCACGCAGGCCGTGTGCGGTTTCTCACACGGGCCCATCTTGTCCGATCTCCTCGCCTCTGCCTCGCTGCTCTCTCTGCGTGAGTGTCTCCGTGGCCAGCTCCTGCTTCCCGTGAATAGGTCAGAGTTGAATCTGCTCTGGGCATCCTCACTCGGCCCTTTTCCCAAGGAACCCCCCCCCTTTTTTCCCGCCACATCACTCTGTATTCTCCTCACCTGGAATATTTACCTCCCTGTGATTGTTGCCTCTGCCGTGCGCCGCTGTCTCCACGAGCCGTGTCCGTCTCTGTGCCGGCCTGGCTCCCGGCAGGAGCTCAGCGCGTTTGTGTCTGAGGGGAGGGTTCAATGTGCTCTGCTTTCACGCCAGCAAACTGCAGGCTGCCGTCTGTCCTCTTGAAACCGGACCAGCTGTCTTGACTGCCCGCCCGTCCTCCTGTCTCGCTCTGCCTCCTGTTCACGCACACTCTCCCAGCAGAGCAGACGCTGCTTGGTGCTTTTTCTCCCCTGACGTCCCTCCACTGTCCGCCCACGGACCCCTTCCTTTATCACATGCGCCAGTGATCTTCAGTGGTCGGTGTTCGGGTGTTGAACTTGACCTGCTAGCAGCATCTGACATTGCTGGTCGCTCTTCTGTTGGAAGCCCCGCCTTCATTTGGTTGCCAGTATATCACGGTCTGGTGGTTAGGCCACTTCATGCCAAATAATTCCTGCCAAACCTGTGGGCTTCCGCCCCAGATGGACGCACGTACGCACTCGAACAGGAACAGGGGGCTCAAGGGTCTCCCCTCGCTTAAAGCTCCTCTGTGTTACCCACCCACAGAGGGAGCAGCCAGGGAGGTGGCAGGGACAGACAGTCGAGTGTCGCGGTACTGCAGTGCAGGGAAGAGAGAGCCTTTCAGAAGGAAGGGGCAGTCGGTATGGTCAGGGTTGCCTGTCCAGTGCGGGCGGGACCGGGACCCCTGGTGTGAAATAAGGAGCTTGTTGTGACTCGGCAAGAGCGGTCTGAGGGAGGTGAGGCCGGAGCATGGGGAGCGGGTGGGGGGCCGGCTGGGCGGGGCGGGGAGGCAGTGTGGGTTTGGTTCCCAGGGGGTGGGGTGGGGAGTAGGTGGTGGCTGGCAGCAGGTGAGGATGTGATGACTGGTTTATGCTTGTTTTGTTGCCCTGAGGAGACTCCAGTCTGTTTTGGCGTTGATGGGAAGGACCTCGTAGAAAGTGAGAGGTTGCAGGGAGAGGTTACCCAGCCGGGCTTGTCTAAAGCTGAGCCCTTGCCTCCGGGCCCCGCGGTTCTCCGAGCTGGGAATGACCGGGCGTGGGAGCCAGCGCCGAGGGCCCTTCCCCACGCGCGGCCTGTTCTGTTCCGATGGAGCGTACGTAGGCCGGTGACCCTGGTCTGTTTCATTTAGTAACTCGTAAAAAGACAAACATCTCCCGTTTTGAGAAATAACATTTATCTCTTCATTTGCTTTTTGCAGGAAATTCACTGTCAGAACACTCCCCTCCAGAAGCCTCAGGTTGTTCCAAATACCCCGTCACTCCCAGCAGCAGGAGGGGACAGGCGACCAGACACCAGGACAGAGACGGAGAGGGGGGCAGAGCCCCGGATGCCAGGAGGACCTCCCCGTGCAGAGCCTGCAGGTCGGTGTCTCCTCCTGGTTTCACTGAGCGCGCCGCCGTCGGTCGCGGTCGCGGAGCTTCGGGGCTTGGATGGGAGGTCGGGGTGCTGCCGGGGTGTCAGAGGGCGGATGCGATTCCTCCTTCCCACCCACTTTTTCTCTCTGGCTGCGCGACGTGCTTCTTCCTAATTCCCTTTCCAGTGTAAGTACTCATTCTCTTGACGAGGAGAGTGTAAGTGACTATGACTTCTTTTTGGAGAAAAACGTGGTGATATCTACTGAATTGTAAGGGGCGCATGATCTTTGATGGAGCTCCTCTGCACGTGTGTGTAGGGCGAATTCTTTGAACTCGGGTGCGAAGAGGCACCGTGTACGGAGAGAGGAACCGTACGTAGCACTGCTTGTTCATTGTGATGAGATTGAAACGCCCCGGATGCCCCTCAGTGGGAGACTCTAAGTAAATTTTATGCTAAATCCATGTAATCAAGTACTATGTGGCTGCCTAAAAGATTAAGGTAGCTCTGTATGTAATGACGTTTAATACATCATTGACCCTTAGAGACATATCCTTTAATTTTTAGACCGGGGTAAAAACATGTTACTAAAACTTAACCATCTAACAGTTTTTAAGTGCACAGTTCATTGGTGGTAAGAATAGTCACACTGTGGAGGAGCAGATCTCCAGAATGTTCTCGTGGGGCAAAACAGGACCTCTAGACATTAAGCAACAAACCCCCCGTGACCCCGTCTCAACCCCTGGGAGCCACCACTCTGCCCTCGGTTTCTGCGACTCGAACTACTTTGGAGACCCCCTACAAGTGGTGTTTGTCGTTCTGAGACGAGCTCATTCAGTGGGGCAGAGTGTCCTGGAGGTTCCTCTGTGCCGTGGCCCGTGACAGAGCGTCCTTCCTCCCACGGCGGGACCACAGTCGGCTGTGGGCACGTGCCGCATCTGGCTGTCCGCTGCCTGGCGTGGGCCCCTGTGGGCCGCCGCTGCCGCCGCGCTGGGCCGTCGTGAACAGCGCTGCCGTGAGCACGGGGCGCAGATACGCGCCCGAGACCCTGTTCTCCGTTCCTCCTCCGGACTTGCCCGGGGGTGGCAGTGCTGCGCTGTGGAGCCGCTCGGTGCGGGGTGTTTTGAGCAGCCCTCATACTGATTCCCACAGCGTCCCACCGTTCGCTTTATCGTCTCTCCAGCAGCGCCCAGGGGTGGCGGCTTCTCCCCGCGCCGGCCAGCGCCTGTGCTTTCCTGGTTTTTTGGTGGTAGCCATCCTGACGGTGTGAGGCGCTCCATCGTTTGTGATTTCGATTTGCGTTTCTCTTATGATTAGTCACGTCGAGCATCTTTTCAATACTTGTGGGCTGTTTGTTATAGTGTCTTTGGAGAAACGTCTCTTCAAGCCCTTTGCCCGTATTTTTTTTAATCTGGTTGGTTATTGGAAATTGTTGTTGTGGAGTTGTAGGAGCGTTACACGTTTCTACAGTTCACAGATATTTTTTCTCATTCAACAGGGTGCCTTTTCCGTTCTGCGGACTGTGCCCTTTGACGCATGGGAGGTTTGAATTGGACGTGGTGCCGGTTGTCTGTTTT